AAGAAAAACAAAACATTTCATAGTATTAATTAAATGTAAACTAGTGTTTAGAAACATGATCCATTGGTTCCTAAACAACTTGAAGTGGTTCATAAGCTATCAAAATCCACTAGAAGTGCATTTTGGATTCCATCAATTTCCTCAATAAAACAATTCTTCTATCCATGAACTAGGAGGAAATGTTGCCAGGTTTCTCTCCAGTACAGATATGGCTATAAAAAAATTCAGAGAAATCTTTGGGATATAAGTTCATAAAGAATATTAGCTTCTGAGTGAAAAGATCCCATGAAACTAGACAGTGTCTATGGGAATCTGGATGAGGCAAAACAAAATCAGATAAATTTCTATCAAGATGGAATTGTTAATCATTAGTAAATGTTTGGGGACTTCAATAATAGCAGTCCCAGTAGTTACTCAATACAAAGGTGGGCCTCTGTAATTTGTGGATCTTTTGACTATCGGTTCTCATTGTTGTTTTTGCCCAGTTTTAACCAACAGATCAGTTCATGACCCATCTAGACATGGATTCCCTGATGTCTGTAACCCATGTCCCACTCTCCACCCAAATGGATTAGCTCTATGTGGGGCTTTTGTTTTAAATTATTTATAAATTAACAGTAGCAAGACTTTTAGAAGAGTAATCTCACCTAGATAGAATTACAGCTATGTTAAAATAAGAAACCAGTAGGTTTCTGAGCCCAATTCAACATACTGGTCATTACTGTTAAAGACCTACATAGCACAGCACTGGATATATCAGGCAAACCTTGTCAATTTTTTTTTTAACATCGACAGAAGACCTGCTAAAAGTGGAAGGTAAATAGGGTATGAGCCATATATAGCCCTTATTGTGTAGAAAAGTATCTGTCCAAGAAGTACAGGTGGATCTCAATGTCTAATGCTGTGATAGCAAACCTATGGCACACGGGCCGTCACCAGTTGCTCTTCCGGGTTCCATTGCATGCATGTGTGCCATTCAGCTGGTCCAGCGTGCAGGCGCACTGGCCAGCTGCTCTCTTCTGGGTACTGACGCTCTGGCGCGCACACTCCAGTTTTGGCACTTGGTTGAGGTTTATTGGATTTATATGCCGCCCTTTTCCCAAGGACTCAGAGCAGCGTACAACATAAAAGAAAACACATATTACAAAAATTAAAAGGAACATTAAATAAAGTATCCAAAAAACCCTAATTGATATTTACAATAAATATTTAGAAATTAAATTTAAATTAACAACCAAATTAATCCTATATTTAATTCAATTCAGGCCAGGCCGGCTTGCTGGAAAAGCCAACTTTTTAGGGCGCGTCGGAAGGACCGGAGGTCGGGGATTATGCGAAGCTCCAGGGGCAGGTCATTCCAGAGGGAAGGCACTCCCACAGAGAAGGCTCTCCCCCTGGGGGTCTCTTCTCTTCTCTTCTCTTCTCTTCTCTTCTCTTCTCTT